GTGTCATTTTATCTCAAAATTTTCCAATATTTCCGAAAAAAATACTTTTGAAACTGGAAAAACACGGAGTACATCCGAAAAAGTATAAAAAAAAAAACAATATTAAATCAGTAATATCTTCTAAACGGTGCATCTTAGAAAAATGTTACCGAAGTACTTTTTGTTTGCAAATTTGATGTACTTTCATAAAATTAGGGTGACAAACTTTTTTGACTTTTCTTAATAGCTTTTTTAAAAATCGTATTTTTTTAAAAAACAATTTTTTTCATCGTAACCTATTTTTCTCCAGAACAACTTACTGTGCACTAGATAGCATTTTCAGTCAGCTATAACATAAAGATAATAAAAAAATTATTGACATGTCACTTTAAAGGGAAAATTTATATTTTAGTTCAAAACACAAATACCAAACTTTTTTTTTTACCGTGCATATTTTCTCCATATAACACCAACAATTGTCTAAAACTTCGCCCAAGACACCAAACCAATCGGACAAACCGTTTCCGAGATACAATTTTTTGAAGATATCATGTGCATTTTTCATAGGCCCTTCTCATAAGTAAGGCTAGATTCAAAATGGCGAACGAAGTATGAAAAACGGCGTTTTTCTTCCCCAAAAACTTGTATGCAAGGTTTCATGCAAATCAAAAAATACAAAAAATAAAAACTGGAAAAATTTCCCACTTGTTCGTGGAACCGCTCTTCTTTCAGATACTCAATTTGGTTTCCGTAGGGGTAAGGGAACGAACGACTGTCTCGCGTTGCTTTCCTCGGAAATTCAGTTGGCTTTTGCTAAGAAAGAGCAAATGGCTTCTGTGTTCTTGGATATCAAGGGGGCTTTTGATTCAGTATCCGTTGAAGTTCTTTCAGAGAAACTCCACGCTTGTGGATTGTCTCCATTAATGAATAATTTTTTGTACAATTTGCTGTCAGAAAAACATATGAGCTTTTCTCATGGAAACTCTACAGCTTTTCGATTTAGCTACATGGGTCTCCCCCAAGGCTCATGTTTAAGCCCCCTTTTGTACAATTTCTACGTTAGAGAAATTGACAATTGTCTTAGTGACAATTGCACGTTGAGACAACTTGCAGATGATGGCGTAGTTTCTATCACAGGGCCAAAAGAGGTTGACCTGCAAGGACTCTTACAGGATACCTTGGACAATTTGTCTACTTGGGCTATTCAGCTAGGTATCGAATTCTCCACGGAGAAAACTGAGTTGGTCGTTTTTTCTAGGAAGCATAGCCCAGCACAACCAAAGCTTCAACTTTTGGGTAAACCGATCACTCATTCTATGTCCTTCAAATATCTTGGGGTCTGGTTCGATTCCAAATGCACCTGGAGATCCCACATTGAGTATCTGAGACGAAAATGCCAACTAAGGATCAATTTCCTTCGATCAATTACCGGAACGTGGTGGGGAGCCCATCCACAAGATCTTCTGACGTTGTACCGGACAACGATTTTATCGGTTCTAGAATATGGTAGTTTTTGTTTCCAGTCGGCAGCTAAAACGCACATGATCAAGCTGGAACGGATCCAGTATCGTTGTCTTCGTATCGCGTTAGGATGCATGCACTCGACTCATACGATGAGTCTCGAAGTGCTGGCGGGCATGTTGCCACTATCCGTCCGTTTTTCAGAGTTATCTCTGAGGCTCCTCACCCGTTGCGAAGTAATGAACCCACTGGTGATTGCAAATTTTGAGAAGCTTCTGGAGCTAAATCCTCAAACATGTTTTATGACTTTGTACTACCTATATTTAACACAGGATGTCAGCCCTTCAAGAAATATTCCCAATCGTGTAATCTTCTCCGATTTCGGCAATTCAGTGAATTTTGATTTATCTATGACGCAGGAAATCCGCGGAATTCCAGAGCATCATCGTCCTATGATTGCTCCGTCATTATACGCTGCAAAGTTTGGCCATGTTGATTCTGCAAGAACGTTTTTCACAGATGGATCTCTAATAGAGGAGTCCGCTGGTTTTGGTGTATTTAATGAATTTCATAGCGCCTCTCGAAAACTTGAAGCTCCTTGTTCTGTGTATGTGGCTGAACTGGCAGCAATTCACTACACTTTGGAAACTATTGCTTCACTTCTTCCAGACCACTACTTTATTTTTACGGATAGTCTCAGTTCTGTCGAGGCTATCCGTTCCATTAGGCCGGTAAAGCACTTCTCGTATTTTCTCCAGAAAATACGAGAACTGCTTAGTACTTTATCCGTGCGCTCTTTCATCATCACCTTCGCGTGGGTCCCTTCGCATTGCTCAATTTTGGGCAATGAGAAGGCGGATTCACTTGCGAAGGTGGGCGCTATGGAAGGCGACATTTATGATCGACAGATCGCCTATAGTGAATTTTTCTCTATTTATCGTCAGCAGTCGCTCGTTAGCTGGCAACATCAATGGAGTGAAGGGAGCTTGGGACGATGGCTACATTCAATTATCCCTAAGGTGTCGAAGTTTGCATGGTTCAAAGGGTTGGACTTGAGTCGAGACTTCATACGCGTGATGTCTCGTCTCATGTCCAATCACTATTGTCTAAACGCTCACTTGTTCCGTGTGGGGTTGGGAGACAGCAATCTCTGTGAATGTGGACAAGGTTACCAGGACGCTGATCACATCCTTTGGTCTTGTGCGGAGTATCGTGGAGTCAGATCACATTTTTATGATTCCCTTCGGGCTCGAGGTAGACAACCTAATGTTCCAGTTCGGGATATTTTGGCTAGACGCGATCTGGAGTTTATGAAACTCATATATGTTTACTTTAAGGATATTAACCTTAGATTGTAAGTTTGATTAACCTTGTGTTTAGTTTGTATTTTGTACGTGTGGGTTTTTTTTTTCAATGTTTGTTTTCAAGATGAATAGAAATAATTTCATGCTTTAGGATTAATTAAATAGTTGTATCGTAAACCACATTTCAAACCTCCTTCTTCCCTTTTCCCATCCAAAAAATTGTAAATCTCCACTAACCTCGAGACAACCGCGAGTACTCGGTCTAGTTCCTTTAACTTTAAATTTAAGACAGTAATAATGTATAACGCAAAGGATAACTCGGCTCTGTAAAGTTTATTCGATTGAGCCTGTACAAATAAAGTAATTAAAAAAAAAAAAAAAACCACTGAAACTGTTAGTTAGCGGAGATCAGCTTGTTTCCGATCCAAAGCAGCGATTTTATTCGGCGAAAGACTCTTCGAAAATTTTATTCAACCGTACATCTCTGCATCATTGGATGGTGCACTTCTGTAACCATCCGGAAGAAGGGGATCTTTTTCGGGAACGATTGCGCTTCCAACTGTTCGAAATGCGAAATGTTGTAAAACAGTATCGCAAACTATCTGAGTAACTGCTCACAATCCATCGGGAGAAAACCACCTGGAAGAATCCTGGATCTCACAGCGCAACTCTCGAAAGATAAACAAACTTTGACGTTTAACTTTCTGCAGGCAACTTTGCCTCCATAAATGCTGCCATTAATCTGAATGGTGTAGGATCAAGCAAAATGGGTTTAGATAAATACAATTCAGCCTGCAAGTTTTCTTCATAAAAGCCATTTTTAAACCTTATTAATTTGTTAAGGAATTCTTGAAAGCAAAACAACTTTTTCACAAATGACCCATGAAAATCAACTTTTATGCCACCGCCATGTTACAATTAGTTTGCTTATTTTTTTACAATCTTTGATTTTCAATCTATGTTGCCTTGGATATAACTATGTTTTGGTAAATTTAGCAATGAGCAAACATTTAAATACGAAAATCATTTAAAAAAATGTCGGCCAAGCTCGATTTGAAGAATATATTTTTTTTTTCAATGTTAAATAATTGGTCAAATCGACGTTTTACGAGGGTGGACTTAATTTTTTCGATGTTTTCACGTACATTTCACATAAAATTGAATATGGCACTTAAAACTAGGTCACTTAATGAGAACTATTGTAATAAATTTGGATATTCAACAATATTTTTATACCATCAGTTTCTATTTTAATTATTTTGATAAGATCGGATTCATAAATCCTTTTCTATCTTGATTGATGCTTTCCTAGTGGATTCAGCATGCGGCTAGGGGAAATGGCTCGAAAAGGGTTTTTATTGTTGCTAAATAGCTTTTATTGTAGCTTTCAAATGGTTCTGAATGCGTACGTCATACAACCTTTTGCAGTAAATCAATCTTGACGAGTTTCTAGAATACACCCTTCAGAACCTTCTCCAGGGTGGGCCAACTAGACATATTCTAGTCTTAATGAGGTTTTGGTGGATGCATTAATGACAAAATAGCCTTGACCAGGGTTTTATGAATGTTGTTTTATAGTTGCTTTGTAGTATTTCATAAAACTTAAAATGTTACTTGGGTTGTCACCCTTGGTCGTTGTCACCACCCCCTCGCTACTACACTGAGTATGGCAGGAACTGTACGTATAAACCAATGAGGTACAGAGAGAGGTGGCGCAGATCGTGAAATAGGGTTGTATTAGTAAACCAAAAAATCAACGTAAACGCAAGTAGTGACGTCACTACTTGCGTGTACTTGCGTGTATCGTACAGTGGTTGTGTGAGTGATTGCTTCACCTCGGTAATCCAGCTCATTGCGTATAAACTAGCAATATGGCCCATCACAAGTATACAGCTGTGCACCACTATAGAAACGTATTCCAGTGACTGGTACATCAACAAACGATTTAATTAATTTCGATCCCTTGTAATTGTCTTATTCTGGCCAAAATAAATTCGCTCCAACACCCATGATTCAACATCACCTCCGTACTTCCAGTAGTGGCAGATACCGTGCCACGCTAGTAAGTGCAACAAAGCAACACGTGGTTTTACCCGGCATGGTAATATAGTAAACAAACCGGCTTCGCGGGCCCTGCTTCCAGTGAGTTACCTTCGGCCAATCGGTAGAGAATCCAACCTCTCTTGTCTACTCAGCTCTCATGCTCGCAGTGCCCATATTATCAACAGCTGGCGACGTGATATCCGTGATATCCCAGTGAGTACCTACCATACCTATTCTATCGTCGTTGTTGTTGGTGTTGATGCCGGCAGAGCAGCAGCTGCCGTCGTTGTACATATATCTACATTTTATCAGCATTCCTATCCTCAATCCTGCCTGGACGGAAGTGGAGTAATGCTGGAGGGCTGGCGGGGTGCAAAGCGTCCCCCGCACGGGTGAAAGAATAATTCCAAGATCACTTCTGGCAGCTCAGTTATCATCGAATGCTTGAACCGGTCGGTTCGGTTTGGTCTGCAGTCTCCGGTGCTTTCCGTTCCGTATCTACACAACCGTCGTCGGGGGTGATTGTAGGATATATGCAAAGGATAAATCGTAGATCCCGAGCTGATAATTGAACAGTAATCCGGCTGCGGAGTGCCTTTGAATTCTGAGAACTGACGACACTGTTGGGAGAGGCTTTCGAGCGGTGGGTTGGATTACCGAAATCGCGTATTCGTTAAGATCCTCACCGGAATTGTCGTGTTGATAACGAATTTGGCTGGAGTGGTCACGGTGGGCGGATGGATTTATGGGGTCGTATGGCGTAGCTACTTCCGTTCATGGTGGGAGCAATGTGCCTGGCAGTATCCGTATGACAGAGGCACGCGGAAAATGAGCATAATGGATTGAGGAAACGTGAGTGCTGAAAAGAAGTGATTTAATCTGGGAAAACATAAGTGTGGGACGGAGTAATATGTGAAACGGTGAAGACGCGCTCGAAAGCGAAGAGATTAAAAGCAATCAAATGTGAAAGGATGCTTTCCACTTGTTGATTAATTTTCGGCATATGGGTATTGATTTCAGCTTCAAGTGCCGGAACCATTCAGTTTGGCTCCCTTTGGATGAACGGAGACCGAACCCGCGTGATGGAAAGTCTTTAACGTTTTATCTTATCTCCATCATCATCGTCGTCGTCGTTGTCAAGTTCATCTCAAGATCAGTTGCAGATTCTAATCTGGTGCCACCCATCATCAGCAACATCGTGCCGTGTGGAAGTGATATTTTCTGGCCGTTTGAAGTGAACGCTGTCATTAAATGTTCCCCGGATTGTGTGGCAATTGATGGTTGTGACATACCGCGGTCGTGCTGTGGATCCATTAACGGTTGATATAAACCGATGCAACTGGCGGAAGGCGAGATGTGTCAACTGTGGTGGCTAACGAAATTAAGTTAATTGAGCGAAAATTGTTTGATTAAATGGTGGTAATGTACTGTGTAATTGAGCTGAGTGCGGAATTTTAGACACTGTTCGGCGAATCGACGGAATTCTTCAGTAGACGAGGTGAGATATTCAATTTATTTAGTTCATAATGTTCGGCACTATTAAATGAATGACTTGCGATTAAGTCATAAAACCTCCGAGGTTGATTGAAAAGACTTTTGAAATTGACCATAAGAAAATGAACCCAATACAATTACTTTTAAAGGATTCGTTTGCGTGGCGTTGACACACATTTGACAGGATTTAGCTGTCACTTTCCAAAACGCGTCATATCCGGATCTAATGTCGGTGACCCTTTATTGACAATAATCGTATTGTCATCATCATCAACATCATCAATATTATTGTTAATAATTCCCATTCGTGTCAATATATTGATACGCGTTGGGTTCGCTTATTACTTAAATTGTACGAAACATCCGCATTGCCTGTCATCTGGCAAAATGCTAATAATACGTCTTATACGAACAATACACGAACTGAATGTCGTACGAACCTGCAGATTGCTGCTCAGCTTGTCTTCTTAGGTGCCTGTTTAAATTTGAGTTGCTCCTGTTACTGATGGCGGTGATGTGCGGAGTTTTGTGTGCTGAAAAGGTTTCTGTAGCTGCTGTTGTCATCCTGCTCATATTTTTTGTTGATGTGAATGCTGGTGGCCATGAAGATGAAACCACCAAGTTGATGTTGGAGATGGGATTACAATAAGGGACGGACTTTAATCTGATGCGGGAGAATCATTGAATGGAGGCTGGTTGCCTCCAAAGTTAATTGATTCGTCAGGACCCGCTGGAATTAGTATGCTTTTTTTTTCTTCTCATCACTAATGTCGAGGACTAAATTATAGTTTAAATTGTTAGTTTAAATCATTTGTGGAATGGACAATTAAAAGGGCGATTTTACGAAATGTCTGCGTAAATGCAACGATACACAGAAAGACAATGAGTTTTTTTTTAACGAAATTTTTGTCGCCCTTTGTAGTATCATAAAAGGTGCAGAAAACAACAATCAAACGAACGATTATGTTGTATAAGCCAGATTGTATTGTCAGTGTAGGTTATTTGCTCGTTTTCAATGAATTACTCAAAATCCTTTAAAAAAAATTAAAAAAAAAATTAAAGGGTTGTGTCCTAGACCGCAGTATGACGTAGAACCTATCTACCTATCTCTATCTATGATGCATGATATATGCATTTAGGTTAACATCCGACGTCCCTCCTTTTTTACATATTTTGCAAAAAAAATACATCCGAAGTCCATCCTTTTTACATATTCTGCACAAAGCATACTATCTAAGCCCCGCAACTGACAGGATTTCCCGCCATTTTATTATGAATAGGGGCGGGGCAGAACGTTTCTTTTGTGCAGAATATGGAAAAAAGGATGGACTTTGAATGTTAATATAATTTCATATATAGAGGTACCAGATATGTTTTACAGTCAGTTGTCTGTAATTATACATTATATCGTCGAATATGTCTTTCAAGCAATTTTTTTTTCTCAAATTTGAAAGTTTTGGTGTGGGAAGAAATTAGGGGAAAAACTTCTGTTTTTACTATAATTGTGGTTTGTTTAAAATTTATTTCCCGGAAAAAAAGTGATCGTCAAAGTCCATGTCTTTTTCGGGTTATTGTTGAGGGGGGGGGGGGGGGGGAGAGGTTGTTGTGAAGGAGGAAGGTGTTTACATACATTGCTTTTCCTCATTCCTAATTGTGTCGCATTCCTCATTGTGGTCACGCCGTGATCCACCTTTAGCCAATGACTTGGTCCTGCTTGGTGCAGGACCAAGTGCCACGCCGTCCGAAGCGACAATGAGCTAAAGCACGACAACAGCGCTGTTTTATATCTTTTCAGGTTCAAGCAGAACGATGTGCAACCGAAACTGATAGGATTTCCCGCCGTTTTTTTATGAATGGGGTGGAGCAAAAAGTTTCTTTTGTTCAGAATAGGGTTTTTGATCTAATTTCCTTCCTACTAAGCACAACCCACGCTTTACCTCTCTTTTCTGAACGAGTTTAAATAAAAAATGGAATATTTTTGTCAAAGATGACTTCTAAATTTATTCACCTCTCCATACGTACCGTTGGATTTGATAAAGAGTCACAAATTGTTGAGATGTTGTTTAAAACCTAATACTGCTTCTTGATTCTAAATTCGTTCTACGAGTTTCAATTCCGTCCTAATGCATTGAAACGCCATTAGATTTTCTTCGTCCTACGGATAAACGTAGAAAAAGGGGATTCGCTAGGAGCGCTTCTTTTGTTTTGAGAACAATGATCGTACATATTCATACAATGCGCTCTAACAGGATTTATGTTGTAGCTAATGAACTAACGTAACTATTTTTGATTTGTGTACAGTGAAATCATTGATATTATTGATCTTTTCTGATCGATAGAACGGAAATGGGCGATCACGGTGAAGTAGCGCTCTACCCTATGTAAAAAAATAATGGACTTTGGATGTTAATATAATTGCATATATAGAGGTACCAGGTATGTTTTACAGTCAGTTGTTGGTAATTCATCGAGTGTATGTCTCCTGTTAAGCAATTATTTGTTGAAAATGTTGGCTCTGCATGTAAAAATATAATTGTTTATACATAATTGTGGTTTGCTTAAAATATATTTCCCGCAAAAAAAATGATCGTCACAGTTCATGTCTTTTTCGGGTTATGTTAAGGGGGGATGGGGAGAGGTTGTTAAAGGGGAGGAGGTTTTACATGCACGTTTTTTCAAGTCTCATTCCTCATTGTGGTGGACACGCCGTGTTCCACCTTTAGCCGCTGACTTAGTCCTGCTTGCTGCAGGACCTAGTGCTACGCCGTCCGAAGCGGTTATGAGCAGAGGCAGGTAGTAAGTAGTAAAATTTACGTTTATTTTCTGGGTTTTTATGTTTCAACATTTGATTTAACATTTCAATTGGTTAGCCTTTGGCTCTTCATCTTTGTTCAAGTTAATTGGTTATTCTAATGTGATGATTGCGTTTAGCGCTAATTTACAGGATACCCTTTGTGGGATTGTTTTGGTTTGAAATTGAAAATTTGAAATTTGAATTCTCAGAATTACGAGTTCGCGGTGGACTGTTAAGGATCATTCTAAGGATCTTGTTTTGGATCCTCTGAAGGATTAAGTGGTGGCACTTAGCACACCTCTCCCAGATTGACATACCATACTCAATAGCTGGCAGAATGATTTGCTTGTGGACAGTAAGCTTGTTTTTGAGGGACAGGGTGGACTTTCTGTTTATCAGAGGGTAGAGCGACCTGATCAAGATGTTACACTTGGTGGATGTCTTGTCCACATGGGATCGGAATAGCAATTTGCTATCGAGGGTGAGACCAAGGTAGACTACTTCACTCGACCATTCAATGGGAGTGCTATCAAGATGGATCTTGACGTTAGCAGGCGGAACAAGCCGAGGTGAATACGAATGTGGAAACAGAATAGTTTGTGTTTTAGCTGCATTGATACAGATCTTCCAGCTCTTAAAATAGTCGGACAAAACATCCAGGCCTGATTGTAGTTTACTCGCCAGAGCACGGATCACTCGACCCTTATAGATGATGGAGGTGTCATCTGCGAACATTGACAGGATACCACCACCCGGCAGGGGAGGAACGTCTGACGTGAAAATGTTGAATAGGATAGGCCCAAGCAGGCTACCTTGAGGGACCCCTGCATCAACGTTCAGAGGAGACATTGTTCAAGTAGACCTGGAATGATCTGCCCGACAAGTAGTTTTTGATGATCTTCACGAGGTAGTTCGGAAAGTTGTATCGATGCAGCTTGTACACTAGACCATCATGCCAGACATTGTCGAACGCCTTCTCGACGTCCAACAATGCCATGGCAGATGTATTGGAAACGGATTTGTTCCGCTTGATGATGTTAGTAACCCGTGCGAGTTGGTGGATGGTAGAGTGGCCTTTCCTAAACCCGAATTGCTCTTTGAGAAAGATGTTATTATCATTTGAAAACACCAGCAGACGGCTGAGTATCAATTTTTCGAATAGCTTCGAGATGGAGGACAAGAGGCTGATGGGGCGATAGCTTTTGGCACTGGTAGGGTCTTTGCCAGGTTTGTGAATTGGAATAACTTTGGCTAACTTCCAGCATGCAGGGAAGTAGCCAAGCATTAAACACTTGTTGAAGACCACTGCAAGGTGCTTGAAGAAGTCAACACTCAAGTTTTTCAGCTCGAGGTTGACCACTCCATCGACACCAGCGGCCTTCATGTTCTTTGTTGATTTAATCGCTGCTATTACCTCATCAGCCGATATTCTACTTTCATCAGGAACAACTACGGGGGTGGCAGCGACACTAGCCATTGCCTGTGATACTGCAGGCTCGTGGGGACTCACCATGGCGTGGCCAAGGTTATGTGAATTTACAAAGTGTTGTCCAAGAGCATTGCCCTTTTCAAATGGGGTTATTAGTAAAGATGGGTCCGAATTTTGGTTAGGAGAGGAAAGGGGAGGAATGGGCCTCGGCTTATTTTTCAAAATCTTTGCCATTTTCCAGAATGGCTTAGCACAATCTGGGAGAGAGCGAATCTTGTTTGCAAAATCGATATTTCTGAGATCCACCATCCTGGCTTGGATGATTTTGCTCAAACGGTTGCAATTGGTCTTCAGATTAGGCAGCCCAGTACGCTGGTACTGCCTACGGATCGTGTTGCGGAGTCTAATGAGGTCTTTAGTAGGCCTGTCAAGGTTCAGAGTGTTACTCACCTGTCTGGATACTGGCACATGTAGCTCCCTGGCCCGGGAAATTGCTTGATCGATGGAGCGCAGACACCGGTCAACATCTTCGGACGATTCCGGTTGGACATCGTAGTCTACAGCGGTGTCGACGCAATGTTGGAACTGACCCCAGTCAACACGATGATAGTTGCGCCGGAAAGCTTCAAATCGATTTACGGAGGATCCCACCTCAGTCACCACCGGGTAGTGGTCCGAGCTGAGTTCCTGATAGGTGATAGGTTGAGCGATGTTGTTGCCCATGTTGCTGATGAAGATATCGATGGTAGCGTGAACACCGGACCGACTCAACCGGTTGGGA